CCCGGAAACCAGAGTAGCCCAAGAGAGGTCCAAGCCGCCATCTTAATCATCATCCCCAGCTGCAGGGAACACGTGTGTGCGTGCGCGTGCGTGTGAGGGCAGTTAAGGGGGTGCGTAGGGAAATCACGGTCAGCGGGGTGTGTCGTGCAGACGCCTGTCCATCTCCTCTGCGTTCATCGTGTCACCGGAGAACCAAACTCCGTGTCCCCCGGGGAGGGAGGTGCCGGGGATGTCTTCAGAGCCTGAATGTTCTAAGACCCGCGCGGGGCATGGGCCCCGGAAGGAGCTGTGGTTGTGGTGCGTGGTCACATTTTCCGGCTCCGAAGTCTCCTGGCCCCGAGGCCAGTCCTGGAAGAGGTGCGGCTCTGCGATCAGGGAGGCCAGAGGGAGGCCGGTGTCCGGAGCTTCCCTTTCCGTGCGGCGGGTGAAGTTCGGGATCGAAGCTGCTTAACGCATCAGTCCATGTGGCCGGGCCCCAGGAGCGTGGGAGCACATCCTGCCAGGGGAGGCGCAGGGCCTGGCTCCTGCATCCACAGCAGAGAAGGGAGGGAACTTCCTTCGTTCAGAAGTTTTAAATGGTCATGTTTCCTGAGCTGGCAGGGGGCCCACCGGTCCTGGCCTCTAATTGGTTTCCAGGTCTGACTGGCAGGCCGGCGGGGACCCTCCCGGGTCACTCTGATCTCTGCTGGGCAGCCATGCACCCGGCCTTCCCTTGCCTCCTTTCCCGTTCAACAATTCCCAGGTTGTAACAGGAGCTGCCAGGGATGAGGCCGGCCCCTCTTCCCACAGCACAGACTCCCTGACCGTGTGCGTGAGTCCTGCAAAGGGGATCCAACCTCATTTTCAGAGCTTCTCCGATTTATAAAACCAATTCGCCTAAAACACCCCTGACTTCACAGAAGCATACTGTGCAGGGACAAATGCTGCTCCCCCTCAGGGGTTGACTCCAGACACTAGAGCAGCCGTGGGCAAACTACGGCCCGCGGGCTAGATCCAGCCGTTTGAAATGAAACAAACAAAAAAAAAGACCGTACCCTTTTATGTAATGATGTTTACTTTGAATTTATATTAGTTCAAACAAACACTCCATCCATGCTTTTGTTCCAGCCCTGCGGTCCAGTTTAAGAACCCATTGTGGCCCTCGAGTCAAAAAAGTTGCCCACCCCTGCCCTAG